CTGTGTTGGCTTTATGTTTTTGGTCAAACATTTGTTTGTTTCACATTTGCATTGATGTAATCAATAATCTTTCTGATTTAATTTAATAAAAATAATAATAATAATTTTCGAAAAAAACAAACAAAAAACATATATTTCTAGGGGGTGCTTAGAGGGTGCTTTGGCAATCCTGGGGGGTGCTTCTAGCTCCCCCCTGGCGCCGCCCCTGGCGGGGGGATTCAACAGGTTAAAAAGAACATTGTTCTTGTGTAATTGAAAAGTCATTTGTCGATGGTCCCTAAATGAAAGCCTCGTTTCGCGGAGAAGATCTCCCCGTCGTAATCCAGCCAGAAGCCAGCGAAACTGACTCTGCTGGCTGGTCCGCGAATGTCTGTCGAATATCCAACCTAAAACTAACTTCAACGCGGTAACCTCACAAAGAGCCTTCAGGTTAGCTGTCACGAGCTGTTCGGGAGTCCGGTCACTTCCTACAAACTGCATCCTGCTGACAGGGAAGTTGATCCGAGTGTTTTTTATTTCATACTCCACAGTTTGCTTCGGTACCGAGAGACACGATGCTTTCTCTGGAGCAAGTGAAGCAGAGTTTGGAGAGAGCGGGGCAGGCTCACGTCCTGCAGTTCTGGCCAGAGCTGAGTGGTCTGGAGAGGGACGCTTTCCTCCAGGATCTGTCCCAGTTGGACCTGCAGCGGCTCCGGGAGCACTGTGAGGGGGCCGCCCGGGCTGCAGCCGCCCCGCCCGGCAGCCTGGACCGGCACATAGAGCCTGTCCCCCCGGAGAGCATCGGCAGCGTGAGGAGGAGTGGCTCAAAGACACTGACCGAGTGGGAACATGAAGGTGACTGAAACCTATTAATGTCAGAGACTGTAGGCAAATACTTTGTAAAGTGAGGGAAGTAAGAAGAGGAAGACGGTGTCAGGTTACTGTGTTTGTCTGTGTTAATGTCAGAGATGTTCTGATCACTAATTCACATCCAGCTGCAGTATCCCCATAAAGCAGGTTATTAATATAATAACCTGTCATCAGTCACTGGATCCAGCAGGAACTGGACCTGACTAAACTACCTGTTCATACCTTATACAGTCTATTGTCATACTCAATACTGTGGGGATTGCCCACAGTATTGAGTATGTAAGTTGCTTTGGATAAAAGCGTGTAACAAGTAACATGTAATGTAATGTAATATGGTTCATACAGAAGTTCTGTTCAAATAGCATGTAGTTTATTGAAAAGTATGATATTCGCCTTTGAAATGTAGTGGAGTAAAAGTATAAAGTAGCATTAAAAGGAAATACTCAAGTAAAGTATGTCAAAAAGTACTTGAGTACAATAATTGAGTAAATGTACTTAGTAGCTTTCCACCGATGTGCACATTGTTGCTTCAGTATTATTAATCTGATGTGATAAACAATAATATACTTTTCAAGTACTTTAACATTTAGCTAAACTTCTGTATTTTAACTTTTGCATTATATCTACACTTTTGTTCTGAACATTGTGCTCTCAATAAGCAGCAGTTTAGTGGAGCATATTCTAATAATTTATGTTTTAAGTTGAAATGATCGAAGACATAATGTTCATCCTGATGGATTGTCTTCCTCTTTATGATACCATATGACAGAAGTGTGCTATGGGTGCAGTTGTAAAGTATAAAGGCCCGCTCATGTGACACTTTATTTCCACAGGGCTGTTGCAAATCTCACAGAATCGAGTTGGAGTCCTGCTGCTGGCCGGGGGTCAGGGGACCCGTCTGGGTGTTCAGTACCCCAAAGGGATGTATAACGTTAGGCTACCAAGCAGCAAAACCTTGTATCAGATCCAGGCAGAGCGCATTCACAAGATCCAGCAGCTGGCTGACAGGAAGTATGGCTCCAAATCCACCGTGCCCTGGTAAGATGTTAGCTCTACTGTATGTTAGCTTTGTGCTAAGTGCCTTACTGCCAGTAGCGTATAAGTACATGTACTCAAGCGCTGTACTTAAGTACAATTTTGCGATACTAGTACTTTACTTGAGTATTTCTACCTTGGCTACTTTGTACTTTTACTCCACTACATGTATTTAATACCTTTAGTTACTTCACAGATGTGGGTGAATGATGTGAAATATAATCAAGTGTTAAATCAGACTTTAGTTCCACCTGGAGTAAATCCAGTATACAAAGTCATTCAAACTAGCTGCACCTTTACCAGCTTTGAGAACACTTTCATGATCAATCATTATAAAACATATCATATCTATTATTCTGAAATGGACCAATCTGCACAATGACTACTTTTACTGTCACTACTTTCACTATATTTTGATGATTATTATTTTCTACTTTGACTTGAGTAACATTTTGAATGCAGGACTTTTACTGTAACAGAGTATTCCTACACGGTGGTATTTTTTACTTTTACTCAAGTATACGATCTGAGTATACTTCTTCCACCTCTGCTTCCTGCTGTTTGGTGTTGGGCAGGAAGTCATGCTAGAGACAGCTGCTGCTGGTACCAAAGAGTGAGCCTGAACCAGATCAGAATATTTGCAACTCAAACAAGAAGTTAAGACTGTGTGATTATTACTTGTGTGTTTGCTGCTGCAAGCGACAGCTTTCACAAACAAGTAGTCATGTGATCTGTTGTTGATACAGAAATATCGATTATAGAAGCTTCACATAATGTTCACTGATAAAGACAGGACTGTTTTTAGCTTTATGATTGATTAACTTAAAGACGTTTTAAGATAAGAAAAGTCACCACATTTTGCAGAGTAGACTAAATATATATATTAAAGTGGTAATCCTCTAACCCACAGGCTTCTGTTAAAGTGAACGGGTATGTATCTGAGCGACCCTAGAACGTTCTACAAGGCTGCTCTTTATCACCTCTGTTATTTAATATCAGCATTGAACCATTGGCACAGTTAATCAGAGATGATTTTAACATAAAGGAACTGACAATAAATGAAGAAGAACATAAGCTTTCCTTATATGCGGACGACATGTTCTCTATCTTAGCCAGCAACAGCAATCCCATACTTAAAGGACCTCATCTTAACCTTTGGATATTTCTCGGGCTTTAAAGTAAATGTAGATAAAACAGTGACTATGGATTTAGGGGGAGGGATTTCACAAACGGTCAAACTTCAGAGTTGGTTTAAATGGCCTTAAATTGGCAGCAAATATCTTGGTATACAAATTCCCTCATCTTTAAAAAAGTTATAGCCTACGACACAAACTACAAGAGCATAATCCAAAACCTCAGTAAGGATCTGGACCGATGGGCAACACTATGTGAGCCGCATTGAGACTTTACCTAAGACTGTGTGGCAGAGGCTCCTATATCCATTTCAAATGTTACCTGTTGATATCCCTAAGTCTATTTGAGAAATTAGAAAGACTTTTTTATAATGTATATGGCAGGGAAGGCGACCAAGAATAAGACTGAAAATGGTAAACCTCTTGTCTATACTGTTGCAATTATTCAGGTACATAATGACCAGTGAGTTCACTCTGGCTCCCACTGAGAAGTTCTTCAAGGAGAACCACTACTTTGGTATGGAGCCCTCAAACATTGTTATGTTTGAGCAGAGGATGATCCCAGCAGTGACCTTCGATGGAAAGGTCATCTTGCAGGGGAAAGGAAAGCTAGCCATGGCCCCAGGTAGGAGAAGATCCAGACTCTAACATCAGGGAATCACTTGGGCTTCACTCATCATGTGTTCAGCACAGTTTGAGGCAATGCGCCATGTTTCTGTGTCAGATGGGAATGGAGGACTGTACCAGGCGCTGGTGGACAACAAGGTGCTGGAGGACATGAAGAAGAGGGGAGTGGAGTACCTGCACGTCTACTGTGTGGACAACATCCTGGTCAAAATGGCCGACCCTGTGTTCATTGGGTTCTGTGTGAGCAAAGGGGCCGACTGCGGAGCCAAGGTATCAAGCATTAGATATAACAGTCCAATCTAAGGAAATATGCTTATCTGTGCTTTTTAGATAAAACTGAAGCAGGGAGGCGTTCTTTTTTCTCTCAAACGCAATTTGTTCAAAACTAAAACATAGCTTTAATGGATTGTGGTAGATTTATTTTTGACGCTGTTTGCTGCTAAACTAAGCTAAGCTAACCATGTCCTGAATCCATTACTGTTCTTAACACACAGACATGAGCATGATATCAATTTATTTCGCAAAGGAACATACGTTTATAAAATGAGTAATGTTATGTTGAAGAAAACATGAACATTTAGAAAATATAGCCACTTTCTTGCTTGAACAAAGAGATGTTAAATACACGAGGGTTTAGCATTTCTAAGCATAAATGCAATCACTAGAAGTAAAAAATCTAATGCTAGGCTGTAAGTGTACGACATAACAGTCACATGACTTCACTCCACCACTTCTTAGCTAAAGTAGCAAATGTTTACCATGATGACGTTTAGTAGTCTCATTGAGACACTTTTTAGGGTGACTAAATAAGCCTTTTAGACACATGCGTATAAGCTTCAGACATTCTCCAGTGGGGTAATTACTGAGGTATTATATGATTTCAAACAAAACATTAAAAACTCTTCAGCTTGTGTTAATAAAGACCTTATTTCAGGTCCACTTTCAGATACGAAGGGGTACAATGCTAACTCATTTCTAGTTAAAGGACTCATTCCTGCACCACTCACACTTGTAATAAGAGCTACTAAAGACACATGTCAATCCCAATCTGTCCCTCTCTGCTGTCAGGTGGTGGAGAAGGCGTGCGCTGCGGAGCCGGTGGGGGTGGTCTGCAGGGTGCGGGGGGTCTCCCAGGTGGTGGAGTACAGCGAGATCCAGCCGGAGACAGCGGAGCTGCGAGGACCTGGGGGAGGGCTGGTGTACAGCGCTGGAAACATCTGCAACCACTTCTTCACCAGGGCCTTCCTGCAGGACGTGGCAGAGTAAGTTTACTGTCACATTTGGAGAG